AGCCACTTTCTTAATATGAGTTCCACAGAAAGTGATTAATCGTCTAGTGATTATCAGGTTTTGTTAATTTGACATCTCAGATAAAAAGAATTCCTGGAGCCTTCATGAAACCAATTTGGATAACATCGATTTTTTCTCTTGATCACTAGGATATACTACTAATGTGTACTAAAAATGTACTAATAATATATGTGTAAAAGTAATATTTCATGCAGTCAAATAACATATTTAACAATATGCTTTGCGAAATGTAAAGCGCTGAGATTTCAGTCAATAAGTTGGTAACATATGCTAAAACTAGAGTATTTCTCACGCTTTACTAAAGTTATTAAATAGTGTTGAATACAATGATGTAACGTTCAACATTCTTATTAATGCATAACCTGGAAATATTCGATTATAATTTAGGAAATTTTCAAACAAATATTTTTATATATAATAACACCAAAAGAAATTGTATTAACACTGATATTTTGTACAAGTGTCAAACTATTTACAAACTTCCATAATCATAGCAGACCCACTGCCAATAAAGAGAAAGAATTAATTGGATTTAGATCTCATCTAAACAAGTTTTATCATACAGAAATGTCTACCACGAAGTTATTAGTTGCCCATAATGTGAACAAATAATCACAACTTTAGCCCCTCCTGGGGCTACTGCCGGTCCCAAACCCGTATAAAGGAGAAGGGTTGGGCGTGAGGCTAGCGACTCCATCCCTTAGAAAACGTACTCGCTAAAAAAAAGCTAACCAGGAAAAACTAATTCAAACCCCTTAACCTCTACCCTGGGAGATGAAGGAAGATTCATGACTCCTCATGATGAAAGCCGAGATTCTTCGGAAGCCACGAGGCCGTTGCTTCTTCTGACAACCAGAGCAACAATTTTTATAAGCGCATGGAACGTCCGGACAATGTCGTAGACCGGGAGAGTCTTCCAAATTGCTGCAGAAATGAGGAAATACAACTTTTATGTGCTTGAAATCAGTGAAACACATTAGACGCGGGTTGCATAACAACGACTAGCTTCAGGGGAGATGTTATACTCCGGCCATGAAGAAGAAAATGCTCCATATACACAAGGCGTCGCACTGATGCTATCCGAACAAGCACAAAAGTACTTATAGGATGGGAATCTCATTGACCTAGGATCACCAATGCCTCCTTCAAAACAAAGAAAGATGGCATTACAATGAACGTCATTCAATGCTATGCGCCTACCAACGATTACAATGAAAATGTTAAAGATCAATTCTGTGATAGGCTGCAGTCGACCGTTGAGAAGTGCCCAACAAAGGATCTGACCATTTTGATGGGAGATTTAAATGCCATGGTTGGAATGGACAACACTGGATATGAAGACGTTATGGGACGACATGAACTGGGAGAAAGGAACGAAAATGGTGAGAGCCTTGCAAACCTATGTTCCTTCAGTAAACTGGTCATAGACTGTGCCATATTCCCACACAAACGTATTCACAAAACCACATGGACTTCACCGGATCACACCATACAGAATCAAATCGACCATATCTGCATCCATAAAAAGTTCAGAAGGACGATGGAGGACGTGAGAACTAAGAGAGGATCTGTTATAGCATCAGATCATCACTTGCTGTTTGCCAAGATGAAAGTGAAACTCAAGAAGCACTGGACAACGGAGCGGATAACATCACAAAAGTTTAATACAGTTTTTCTTCGAGATACTGACAGACTCAACTAATTCAAGATAGACCTCAGCAACAGGTTTCATGCCCTTCACGATCTACTCACTGGAGAGGGAACTACCATGGAGAACAACAAGGACTAAGAAATTAATCACTTGAACATGTCATGAGGATCTGGGCAACAAGAAGCATCATCACAACGAATGGATCACTTTTGATACACTGGATAAAGTTCAATAAAGGAGAAACAATAAGGCAGCAATCAATATCAGCCGAACAAGAGCAGAGAAAGCCAAGATACAAGCTGAATACACAGAAGCAGACAAAAAAGTGAAGAGGAGCATTAGAACCGACAAACGTGAATATGAAAAAGATATAGCAATGATGGCGGAAAAGGCTGCAAGAGAAGGAAACATGAGACAATTGTCTGGTACAACAAAGAAACTCGCTGGACATCACCGTAAACCAGAACTACCAGTGAAAAGCAAGGAAGGCAAGGTGATCACCAACATTGCAGAACAATGAAACAGGTGGGTAAAACACTTCAAAGAACTCTTGAATCGACCAGCTCCACTGAGCCCACCCAACATCGAAGCAGCATCCACAGACCTCCCAATCGATGTTGGCCCACCAACAATTGAAGAGATCAGCATGGTCATCAGACAAATCAAGAGCGGCAAAGCAACAGAACCAGACAACATTCCAGCAGAGGCAATGGAAGCAGGTGTAGCAGCAACTGCAAAGATATTCCACATTCTTTTCAGTAAGATTTGGGATGAAGAACAAGTACTAACAGACTGAAAAGACACCTAGTCAAGATATCAAAGAAAGGTGATCTCAACAGGTGTGAGAATTACAGAGGCATCAGTCTTCTCTCAATACCAGGAAAAGTCTTCAACAGGGTTTTGTTAAACAGAATGAAGGACTCCATAGGCGCTCAACTTTGAGACCAACAGGCTGGATTCCGTAAGGATCAATCATGTACAGATCAAATCGCAACTATACGAATCATTGTGGAAAGATCAACTGAATTGAATTCATTACTCTACATCAATTACATTGACTACGAGAAAGCATTTGATAAAGTAGACAGGACAACACTATGGAGGCTTCTTCGACACTACGGCGTGCCTGCCAGAGAAGAGAGTCAATATCATACAGAATTTCTAAGATGGATTAAACTGCAAAATCGTGCATAGAGGACAGCTCACTGACTCGTTCGAGGTAAAGACCGGTGTCAGGCAAAGTTGCTTGCTCTCACCCTTTTCTTTCTTCTGGTGATCAACTGGATCATGAAGACGTCAACATCTGGGATGGGGGTGATCACGGGATACAGTGGACAGGTTGAATGGAGCTGGACGATCTAGAATTCACAGATGATCTTGCTCTTTTATCGCACATACAAAAACAAATGCAGGAGAAGACGACCAGTGTAGCATCAGCCTCAGCAGCAGTAGGTCTCAATATAAACAAAGGGAAAAGCAAGATTCTTCGATACAACTTAACATACCCCAATCTAATCACACTTGATAGAGAAGCTTCGTAGGATGTGAAAATCTTTACATATCTGGGCAGCAGTATCGATGAACACGGTGGATCTGATGCGGATAAGAAGGCGCGGATTGTCAAAGTGAAAGCAGCATATTTGCAACTAAAGAACATCTGGAACTCAAAGCAACTGTCTGTCAGCTAATACAAAGATCAGAATTTTTAATACAAATGTCAAGACAGTTCTACTGTATGGGGCGGAAATCCTGGAGAACTACGAAAGTCATCATCCAAAAGGCGCAAGTGTATACTAACAGTTGTCTAAGCAAAATACTTCGGATCCGTTGACCAGACACTATCGACAACAACCTACTGTGGGAGAGAACAAACCAGGTTCCAGTGAAGGAAGAAATCAGGAAGAAGCGCCGGAAGTGGATAGGACACACATTGAGGGAAGCACCAAACTGCGTCACAAGGCAAGCCTTCACATAGAATCCTCAAGGCCAAAGAAAGAGAGGAAGATAAAAGAGCACATTGCGCCGAGAAATGGAGACAGACATGTGAAGAATGAAAAAAGCTAGATATAATTAGAAGGGAATATCCAAGACAGAGTGGGTTGGAGAATGCTGGTCGGCGGCCTAAGCTCCATTGGGAGTAACTGGGGTAAGTAAGTAAGTAATCACAACTTTAGTAGACTATGTTTAATTTGTAAAGTAATTTACTTATGGAATTATAAAAGCCTTTCATGAAGTTAAATTATCATTAAGAAAAAAACTGAAGCAATAACACGATGCTTTATTATTTACTACATTTTTTATGGGATACAAGGTATTTAGTTGAACTTTGACAAAATTATCTTTCTATCAAAAAAATGTCAATTTTACCGGAGCATACTTTTATAGAGCAATTTCACCTGAAACAAGTAGTGAGGATATGAAGTTGTGTGTTCAGCTTCGTTTATTCATTATTTAATTAATAAAACTGCAGAAAAAGGTGTCGGAGTTAAAGTACCATTTTGTTTGCTAAATAACTAATTAAGTAAATATCTTTGGCGATTTAAAGACATTAGTTTTAGGTAGCGTTTTAAAAGTGAATTATGCTCTTCAAACCTTCTTATAAGTTAAATCTAAAGACTTAAATTAACTGAAGAACTGCTGACCATGAAAGTGCTTTTCATTCATGAAATCAAGCGTAATTCGTCCGTAAAATGGGAATTATGAATGCCTACAATTTTATATTGGTAAGCCTTGTAAACTGATTGAATAATTTAATATTCTATGAGGAAAGTTTATTTGTTCGCCTGTTTAAAGATAGAATTCTGGGTCTAGTGAAAATCTATAACTATGACATAGAATTTCTAATACGATTTTCGAGTTCCGATACTTCAAAAAAACTATAAAATGAAGACGTTTTTACGAACTTATGAAGTGAAAACTGTTAGACGATTCAATAACTAAATTTAACTTGAATAAAAAGCTCAAAACAAATACTATTACATCAGTGTTTAGTCTAGATAATTCAAATCTATTGTAAAACTGCTACTAAGACCACAAAAAAGGCTACCATAAATAAGGATGATCACTTCTGGTTATGAAGAACGACTGGTGACAGCGCTACACCCTTCTGATTAACCAGAGAATTAGTCGAAGTCAAGCACCTACAGATATCAATTCTATAATACAATATTTTTCAGCTACCTTTCTACTGAACTCAAGTACAAATTATCATCATTTTTGGCGATGTAAAAAGCGATGACAGAAAGTTTATTAACGTTGGTTTTTGAGGTTTTCAGACACGATTTAGCAATTAATATAAAAAAATTTGAAATATTATATAAAAACTTACTAGATATAACATTGCATAGTTTCGTTGACTCTGATTGTGGAGATAAAGAACTACCAAACTCGTTACACAGTTTGGGTCTTGAATCAAATTGGTGATTACTAGATAGGTTTGGCGCTCCTTTATGTGAATGATCAACCGATTCACTGTTCTTTGTAGCTAGACAGTCCTTTTTACAGTTTGAACTTCTAGCATCGATATAGGAAGTGGCGCCTTTTAAAAAAATCAAAAATATGCCTTAGCTCTTAGCTTGTGTAATGCAGTAGAAACAAAAAGCTACACATGAAAGCTTAACAGTTTTATTTGAATGATACACTCAAAATCTAACTAGTTAACACAAATCAACAGCCATTATCATTAAATATTTACCAACGATAATGTCAGTATATATTTAATTAAAATTCATTGGTAACGCGAATAAACAAACATCTGTTAAGCAACTGACAACATCTAGATTTAACTATTGTGATAATTTTAAGGATCAAAATAACTACACTTTTTCTTTATAGATGTAACTGTTATACAGTCAACAAACTATGGATAAATAACAGTAATGAATAATATGTCCTCGTTTGCCTATTAGAGTGTAAACAGTTTACACATTTGAACATAATACTGTTGGAAAAACACTATTTTCTTAAATAATATTTTTTATTAAATATTACTCATTACTATTCATTCATAGAAGACTTAAGTGAACCGAACTTTCGCCTGAATTCCTATTTTGATGTAGCCCACAATTTGATAATAAATGTGCATTTATTTGATCTGATTCAATTTTCGAGTGAATTTTTGTTCGCTAATTGCGAGCTCTTAAAACCAGACTTAGATACTTTAGCTTAGGTGTCATACTTAGTGTAGCTTTACATAAAAAGAAAGTACAGAAAATGCTTGAATTCCAGTACCATGGCAGTAACCAACAAATATATCAATATAATCTCAGAAAGAAACGAAAATAACTTTCTCAACAGAATTCCAGACTTTTTAAAACACAAGATCGAGTTAACATTTTGATCAATGATCACACATGGTACAAATACAAATTAAAACTTATTTAGTAGGAAGAAGCCAGAAAGTGAGTCCATTTCAAAAGTTGAACTGAGAACTGAAACAGGACCTTGAAAACGTTTGGCTGAAAGAAGAACTAACCAAACCTTAATCGAAGATAATGGTTCATTTGTCAACTATATTTCTAACACACAAGGTGAGCGTAAATATTTTGATGTTTTAGGACGAAAGAAAGCATAAATGTATGAAAACATTAATCAAAAAGGAGATGAATGAATGATATTTATTATTTAACAAAATAAAACCCATACGAAATTGGTTAATCTAAAATGTTTACGATACTCTGCTAAAAATAACTCAAAATGATATCAATTCCTGTAAATACCTAAAACGTCAAGCAACGGAAAGATTTAAATAGCAGAAACATCGTTCTAGCCTTTATGGAAAATAGACTTATTTTCGAAGTGACACGAGTATTTGATAATAGACAACAGCTCTGTTTGTGTAAATCATTTTTGGGTGCCCTACTGCCCCGTCCTCTTTGTGTTATAAATAAAAGAAATAAATCCTGTTTGAAAAGTGCTTATGAAACAATTTTGGTGGACGTTGTCTGAGATCTATGGTTTTCACAAAAGGACTGAACTAACCAATTTTACAAGCTAGAGAACATGCTTCAATGATTGAAAGTGGTCATTTTGTCATAGAAGCGGGTGTGCTATTTTAGTTACTTTCCACGGAAAAATAGTGAAACGTTTTTTCTAACTTCTACAGTCACCTGAAGAATAAAATGATCTTTGTCAGTGGAAGTTTTTTTTGTTCAAAATGTTGCTATAATGTTAAATTAGTGTTTTATTGAACATATTCCATTCAAAATTCTCATTTGAATCATTTTTACCATTCATTAACCGGGGATTAACATGCTTACCTACAAACCATTATGGTAATCAATTTCGCAAACACATGAACAGACAAAACATAATTGGCATATATCACAGTTAATAGTCTTTTAGTTTTAAGCAGCAAGCATACATATGGAAAATTTTAATTCGTCTAACATAAGTATCATTTTTTGATTGCCGCTTAAAATGTAAGACTGTAACCTCATCAATTGTCATGGTTTTAGTAACTTTTATTTAATAATGCAGAAAACGTTTACGAGTACCACAACATACAGAGTATATTTAGTATTCTTGATCTTCTATTGTAGATTGTGCTACTATAATTTGCCAGGATAAATATTTTAAGACTTTACGGACACTGTAACTGTTGCAAAGAGATTTTACCTATTGTAACGCGTTTACTTGTATAAGCATGTTTTAACTCTTAAAACCCAGATCGCTCATTAAATATGCCCTTTTTGATGCATTCAGAGTATCTATACCACAAGCATTATAAGCAGAGATAGATAATTACTAGCAGTAGGATCTGGGACGCGCGTTACCTTTTGTTTGGGACTCATCAAATGGATGTACTTGCGTCCTGGAGTTGATGTTCACTCCGAAACTCGAACCCACTGCCGTTTGCTTCCAACGCAATCCCTTTATCCACTTATCTACTGAGTCCATACGGACACTAGCTTATGCAATAGGGTGGAATTTTAATGCATTTTCGTGTTGGTTGTTTGAATCTTTCCATTGATCTTCATTATTGCAGTGGGAAAATTCAAACAACCAATACAAAATTGAATTATCTGTACCGGAGTTTCAGATTAAACTTAAAACTTAATTTAACTGGGATATTAGCGATTTTAGAAAATTTGCTTTCTTTATTGCGGTAACTAATCATCGATAGATGTAGATAAACAAACACTGGCAAGATGCATAATCAACTTCTAGCTGTTATTTTTCCTGATTAAATGTCGTGTATATTACATACGAAGGTTCGTTTGTAAAACTAATACTAATAAGGTGTTTTAATTGGGAAGCTAATTTATAATCTAATAAAATGTAGTAGATTAATATTCTTCTACTCAAGTAGTTTCTCTGGATCTTTTCATAATAATACGAGGATCTGTGTGCATGGACTATTTTTAGTGGCTTACATAGTACTTTATAGTATATTTAGAAGCCATTTTAGACAAATCGTAAGATAATCCTAATTTTCACCAAGCAGACACTAATTCATCCACTAAATTCTTCATTATTGTCTTTGTATTACGATAATGACACACGGCACTGATAGTTATTTACAACTCACCATAATGATTGAATAAAAGTTATCTTAAAAGTAAGATACGGAAAATTTATTTAGAGTTTAAAAGCAAGTATGATTACTTTTACTTACCTAAACATCGGAAACTGTCAAAGTTTATCGGAATATGCTTTGAATTAGATGAATGATAATTTGGTCTACTACTTGACTCAGTATTATTTGTCCAATCAACTGACCAGTTAGCACAATGATGTATACTGTTTTGACCATCAAGCCATCCATCCTCAAAGGAATCTGACTGCCTTAAACGATTACATGACTTTAAATTTTCTATAGTTGCTGCTTGTGTCTCACATAAGTGGTCATTTAAAAACATGATTGATGACTTTGCTTTTGATTCGCTTCTATTCTGATTATCCGGATCACTAGCAATACTAGTATCTGTAAAATCAGAGACATTTGATTTTAAATCCATATGAACATTATTGTGATAATTTGAATACTCTGTGTCACTTGATTGAATGTGTTCACTAAGATAATGTGGATATTCATTATTAACAATATAAGGATAATCCAAAGTTCTCATTACAGAATAATCAGTTTGTGAACATAATTGTGCAGGTGAAGAATTAAAATGTTGATCATATAGGTTAGATTGTTGATATTCTTCAACGAAAATGAATTCATTACTAACGGAATGATTATTTTGCATTTTAGTATCATTGATAAATCCACTTGTCAGAGCAAAAGAGCCAGTGCCATAATTGTTTGAATTGAAAACATCCTTTGTCCATGATAGATCATTATCTAGGCAATCACAATTGGGAGTAATTTCTCTATCATTGTCATTACAATAATTTTTCTGCAACTCCTTGACATGTCCCAAAATATTTTTAATTACACTGCCATTTTTATTATTATCATTCATTTTATATGTGGTAGGAATATTGTTATTATTAATAATAGTAGAAGTAGTACTGGTATCATTTGAATTATATATAGTAGATTGATCGTTAAATGGATAATTTTGCTGAGAAGTAATCCCCATAAATTTAGTAAAGTCATTTTCCAGAAATCTATTCCAATCTTCATTTTCCATTTGATTAATAGAAGAATCAGTTGTAACTGTTGTCGGCTGATTCTGAGTACAATACCGTTTTTGTGCTGTATGCATATTTTCCAGTTAATATAAGTTCATTCGGTAGCTAGTGTTCCACATCAATGTATTTTTTAGAATCATTAAGCAACATTTTTATATATTCTAATCCTTTGATCAGTAATTTTAAACAATACAATCAGAAAAATATTTACGGAATAAAATAAATTCATTAATTTTTCATTGGTTCTAATGAACTACTGATAGTTTTAGGAAAAGAATCAATGAATAAAAAATTGATATAAGTTTTTATGTGATAATTTATATGACAACAATAAAATGAAGCAGATAAAATTACCATCATTTTAATTCATTCATCAATATTAAATAGTATGTGTACTTAAAAATGTACCATTTCCTGCACCTTAGAGCTACGACGAAAGTGTGTATTTCTGTACACTGAGTTGAATGGTTTCCAGATTAGAATCTATCTTTACATTAAAATCTATTCATCCTTAAACCCTATTGTTATCCATGTTGATAATTATTCTCCTTAATCATTACTTTTAATGAAGCTGACGTTTTGTTCTATTTTAATAACATTATTATTTGTATCAGAAGGGGTTTTGTGCATATTATAGTAATTTCAGTAGTTGAGATCAAGAGATGTTTCCTGGAGTTATAAAGAGAAGCAGTGACCAGTAGAGTTCAACCGGGTCTGTTGTGAGATAGTAATTCACTAAACACAATGGAGGATGTGTCGCTTAATTTCGTCGATCGGTTGAAGTTAGACATTAACACCATTGGGTGCCGGCTCAGTGGTCTAGAGGTTAAGCGCTCGCGCGCGAGACTGATAGGTTCTGGGTCCGGACCTCGCGAGGCGGTATCGGAAATGTGCACTGCTGATGAGTCCCACAATAGGACGAAACGGTCGTCCAGTGCTTCCAGGTTTTCCATGATGTTCTGGCTTCAAATAACTAATGATCTCAACTATTGAAAGCAATATTTGTGTCTGGCATATATACTCTCGAAATTTCTACATACTTAATCAGTATGCCTCAAAATCTGCTCCATAAATCAGTAATGGTAACTGCAACTGATCACTTGATCAAAAGACATTTTCTTAGAAACTTATGCCTACATTGAAGATCTGTTCAGGTCATTTAATGAAATTATAGTTATGAGTGAAGACAAAAAGTGACCATTTATTTAAAATGTCTTATACTGCAAGTCATCTTAGAAGGAAGCTTTAAAATATACTTTATGTGAACGGAAATTTTAGTGTTTATTCATTCCAACTAAAATTTAATTATTTCAACTATGTCAAATCAAAAAACAATGTCGTATCAATGAAAAATGAGCATGAAAAGGCAGAAACGCAGAACAAACCTTTCAACAACTGTGGTAATTTTTTCTACGTTATGTAAACTGTGAGAAACTGAGACGACTTTTTTTCTTTTTAGGCATTCAATAAGTACCATTACAAAGTAGAAAATACCAAAATTTCTTACAACCATTATTTAAAATGCATCAAACTATATTTGTTCTATATGTTTTATCAAGTTGATTATTTTTCAACAGCAATAGAAAGCACAAAAAGTACTAACACATTCATTTGATGATTACTAAGTTTGATCACTTGAGAGTACTAGATTATGACTACAAACGCTTTGTAGACATGCTGAGTACCAATAAGCTGGTTTGTAAGGAAACAACAATGCGGGTTGTTTCCCTAAACCGTTTAAACAAAGATAAAATAAAAACATCAACAGGATGCGATGGGTTTATTTTACTTTGTGCTTCCTCTTCAACTGTATATAAGATAATAAATCTAATTTGTTTAGACTATTAACATAGAGCTTGTAGGAGAAATTTGTTTTCACAGATCAGTAAAACTGCTCAGAATGTAAACTTGAATTATTCGAATTCACGTGTTCAAAGTGTATTGATAAATAAGTTTAGTGATTATTCTAGAATATTATTAATTAGTATGACAAACGATTTACGAAGGATATAGAAACCAAGACGGAAAATTAGGTCTACATAAATGAACAATAATCACGTCTTTCTAAAAAATGAAATTCTTAACAGATTTCTTTATATCACCAAAATAGTTAGAGATTAATCATTAAGTTTTTTTGAATATAAATGTCAGGTATTGAGCAATCACCATAACCATTGATAAAAACTCTTCAAACACGTCAATTTGTAGCCTTCGTTACAAGTTTTCATCCTGGACAACTTGATTGATCTATGAAAACAACTCTCCGAAAATTTTTTGTGTTATTAATTTAAACCAACTAAAATCACTAGTTTGTATACGGTTATAGAGAAAGAAAATGTAATGACTTTATCATATTCTGTAAATACTTTCGTTCTTGTTTTGTTAAAACAAATACTTGCAACTAAACAAACTCCCTTAGGAGCCTGAATAGAATCAAACAGATATCGTTTTAAAAATCTTACCTTATCATGATCTCATATTCAAACGAACATATTTTACTACTGAAATTTCACTTTTATCCCAGAAACACATTTGTGTAACAATTTTTACCGTGGTTTGAAGAATAATCAACTTGACATATAAATGTTCAGTTTGCTTAGTCTTTAGACAGTGAATGCCTACAAATATATTCTTATTTTATAATTATTCAATCGTTATATTTTAAACAATTAATAATTGACAATTAACATATGTTTAAAGTAAATCAGAAGACCTCGAATACCATGGGATATATTGCACTTGAACTGTTGCATGTAAATGTTATGTCATCAAATCAAGTGAATTATTTAAGTACATAAATTAATGGATATAGATTTATTGTAAAAATCATTTGAAGTCAGTACATGAATCGAGGTCAGGAAGATAACTGTTTTTTCTGCACTCTGATTATAAAATCAATAACATTTAGTATTAGTTGCGAATCCTTATGAAATAACAGAACTTTAGATACTGTTTAGTGAGTAAACTTAACCACAATATCTAAATCTCTTTTTTCGTTTTGATGTAAAATCATAAAATTAAGTCAGAAATATAAGTACTGTGATTAATACTCTCCCAGCAGGTTCACCAGATCTAATCTGTTTTCATTATAACTCTGATGATGCTCCAATTCAGGTGTATTCGCACCCTCAGTTGTTGTTTAACATAGTTGAAGGTATAATTCACCTGCATTCTCCAGATTCATAGACTCATATACAATTGGATATTGGTTGTTTTCCAAGCATGATAGCGATACTTATTAAGAGGCGAGAATATGTGAGCGTCCTGTTTTTCCGACATATGAAAGCAGCCGAAAAATATTTAGTGGTGACTTTCATTAGTAACACCATTCCATTAATTGAATTCGCTCGTGAATTTTGCTTGACTTTTATTCTACTTTCTCCCATCAAGATTTCATTTTAGGCATATATAACGTATCTGGACTTTCGAATTTACATGTATTTGTGATGTGAACAAGGATTTATGAACTAAAAAGGTGAAATGCCTGCAAACAATGTAATTACATATTTATAAATAAGTAATTACATGTCTATATTTCGGATAGTTAAACAGTTGAGTTTTATAAGTCATTGTCGAACTAATATTTTCATCGTTCAAAAACAGCATAACTTTCACTTATTTTACTAGTGAATTAAGATATTCAGAAAAATAATTTCATATCATATAATATGGTTTTCTAAGTAGCCCACACTTATTTAACTGGATACACTTTAAGTGAAGATTTACAATGTTTTCCGTCTACTGGAATGATTATCAAGTCTTTGTGGTAATTAACGGAGATCATTTAAAATGACTAAAATTGTATTCTTTTACAAATCCCAAAAGTACAATAGGACTAGTTCGGTACATGGAATAAAGTACTCTGTTGGGAATACTCTCGAAATGAATTGCTTTCTGAAGGAAGTAATTTTTGAGTATTTATCATACAGGACTTTACCACCCAATAACAGCCCTTTGAGACTTAAACAACTGCAATCAGAAGTATTTATGCATATGTAATCCCTTTCAAAAGCTCCAGCATTTTTTAATTTAGGGTCATGATTTAAGCTTATGGTACATACCAAGACATGAAGCCTAAAATAATACAGAGAAGGCTGATACAACTTGAAATATCTGGAACCAAATAAAAAACAGCTTTTTCATCTAATTAAAAGCGTCTAACACTCAATTACACTTTTCAATAAAAGTCATATGTATTGTATTAAGGTGGACAATTTGCCTTTTAACGAATTCCTATGATACATTTTTATCACTCACGTGACAAAGAAAGCGTCCTGACATTTCTTTGCCAACCTATAAGTTGATACATCATTTTTAACTTTAAACCTCCGGTTTTTACTGAGTTGAACGTTTTCGAAATTTTACCACAAATTTGTTTTCACTGAATGCGAACAATGTCTGAATAAAACATAAGTCTGAAAATAATACATTTCACATTTTAATTACACTCCAAGCTACCTTTCACGGCATTATTGCTACTTCACTGTCAACATACTTACTGTTTTCTTAACAAACTATGAGCTAAAATAACGTTTCTACGTGTTATCGATTAAATACCTAGTGCTGATTGATGGCGAGAATCAGTTTTTTTAAACCTTAGTGTCAATACTTCGTTCATCTAGAACAATGGCATAGGACTAGATAGCTCGATACAACATCTTTGTCCACTATAATTGTGAAGTGAGTCCCAAAACCCTATGTGAAGTTCAGGTTCTTTAAGATACTTTTGGCCACTTTTGATCCAGCTGCTAAAACTGCTGTCAAAAATTCAAATAAATTGCACAAGATGATAAAACCCACAAACTTGCTCTCATTGCAATTCAATCAATAAAACCCAGTCACTAGTAACTAAAGAACACACAAGACGGTGACTACTTCTACGCAATCAGTGAATTTAAAGATTATATTATAATTAATCTTTGCTAGTAATCAGTATCGAACCCAAGGATACAATTCTCACAGTGAATATCATCACTTACAGGAAACATTTCCAGTCATCATTTACTTTTTTCATTCTTGAAGCGTTGCGAAAGCATCCATTTTTAGTGACCGTTTCCACGTCTCTAAGATCAAAAGGTATTATTTAATGGTAAACTAAACGCTTACTTCACAATATTGTTGCTAAGCAGATAGTTTGCGTTTGTGGATAAAGGTCATCCTAGATTACTTCTTTTTATTGTGTTGGCAGCAAATTACAAAGGAAAGGCTATATTACATAATTCTGGAGTAAAAATTGGATTCATGAACAAACTACCATTCTCCTCGAAGTTCTAATGAATATCGACAAATATCACTTTGAAATCGGTTAGTATGTTCTTATAAACTGTATTTATTAGTTACTTTTGTGTATACTAAGTAATAATTTTGAATAGATCCAGTTATAATTTAAAAATGAATAAGAAGCCGAAATAGCATGTAACTTTCAAGAGATCATTTGTTAAAATTTAAGCTATGAGACTGGAAAAACATTCCTACGGAATTCAAACTGGCTTAGGCAAAAAAATTTTAAAGATAAGCCTGATGAAAATACAATATTTACAAATAAAATTTGTTTTATCAAAAACTCGAAACAAAATGACCAGAATAAGATTATAGTTTTTCTCATACAATTTTTGACTTTGAAGTATAAATGTTTGGAAAAACACTACTCACAGATGTTAATTTTCAATTCTCACTATATTCATTCCACAAATAGAGTATATATATATATATATATATATATATATATAACATGAAGATTATGATATTTCTTTACTGTATATCACGCAGACGTAAGCAAACAGATGTCCATTTCAACTAAAATAGAGTGAATGTTGTGATGTCATACTCCTATCGATGAATTATTCAGAAGACTATTTTATCGGAACCGGTTAACCTTGATTATTTTGTAAGTCTTGAAATGGTAAGGTTAACGGTAAAAATTCAGGATAAACGTATTAGTCATTAAACTCATATGTCATTTTCCTTTTACCGGATACTCTAAAATGCTATTTTATCGAACTGCGTTCTAGACGGTTTCTTTTCTCACAGGCAAACCGAAATTTTAAAAAATTAGTGATTGAAACAAGACTAAGACATCAGTGTTCAAAGCTTACTACTGATTCTGGATGGGCTTTCAGTCAGTTACATACCATGTTGAAAATGACCAATGTCTGTCTAACAATACGAAAAGTTTCAGTGAACCAAGATGAAAGATCTACCAGTCGGTCCTATAGTAAGTCATTTTATAGATTTTTACACACCCAGGTGTTTAAACTTTAAGCGATGTACAGCCTGCAGTTCAGGTTGGTATTCGCCTAATATTTGAGATACTAGCACTATTATATCCTACCAAAATATAATATGGTTTGACTTGTAAATTTGTCCCTTTGAACATAAGCTCAACTCTTTCATAAAAATATTTGACTCATAAACAACTAGAAAACACTGAAGAGCTTTTTTCCAAATCATTGAATAATTGGTTGGTGTTAAACTTACAAAGGTTTATGTTACTAAAACACAAATTCAGTGAACCAGACATATCTCATCTGAAAACCTGAATTTTTCTGTTTTTGATCAAAACTGCACCTTGATAAAAGATAACTCTCCCATTTCACCACAATATTCCACCTTGGAAAATCCAGATATTCTTTAATATTTTATCTTATATGAAAGACCCAGTCAAATCAACTTAACGTGAACTTGGCAGATTATAGAGAAAGATAATAATATGCAGCTACGTTTGTGCTTAGCCAATAGGTTTTTATGCATAAAATGAAAATGGTTTGTTCTCCTTGTTAAAAAAAAAGCATACTAACATGCATAAGTCACTACGGTGGTTTCGTTTCACAAATGTATTCGTGTGAAAATAGTGACTAAGCAATATCAACTGCAAGTAAGATAATATTCTGAAACAATGTAATCTCCCTAACTCGAATATTTAAAGCGTTTTTCAAATTTCAGAATGATTCTCAATAAATACTTAAAAATATTATCCTTTCCAAAGTGAAACTGGATGATTCCACGGCACAAGTTGATGTGCCAAATCAAAAGCACTTGAAGAAAAAGAGACCATTAGACTAAAAATACATTTTGGTTAATTATAAGTTCACCATAATGCAGACAGAATGACCTTATATAAGCAATAGAAATGGCTAGAAAGTAAATGATTTTGACAGACCTAAAAAATCAGAAAAGATATCTAGACATTTATATACTAATAATAAATAATCATAGTACCATGTTAAGTAAGAGAGATCATCTCATTCTAACAGTAGTAATAAATATGTGTACATCATATTCTATAACGTAAACTAAAATAATTTTTAAAACTCCGCCAGAGAACGTAACTCAAATAATACAGATGGTTCAAATTGTTGTGGACAGAATAAAAGAAGCTTTCACTTAGCAGGCATTTCTATTTATCAGCAGTGGATCGCAAATACCTCCAGTCAGGAACCTCAGTATATCACCGATAAATGAAAAAGAAATTGGTAGATCATAGTAAGATACTATCGTTTGTCCATAAAAATATGTCAAGTTTTCTCTTAAGGAACAACTGAGAGGTAACTTGATCTATCTCAGTCTGTAAAAAATTCCAGCATTCGACTAATATTGAGGAGTGGGTGTGTCTGCAGTCCGTTCTGCTGTTTTGTCTCCAGTTTTTATATGTTATGTCTAAGCTAAGTAGGTGTTTAGGGAGATGCCCAGAAAAATATGTCATTGGGTCACCTCTGAGAATCCTGTACTCTAATATCTTAAGGTTCAATGAATAAAGTCACCTTTCATAAGACTTGAATTTGAGTCCCCGAATTGGTTTCGTGGCTCGCGTTAGATATGTTCCAGTGTCCTCACCCTTTCGGAGTGAGGGAGGAAATACTCTGTTTCCGTACTCTAAATGGGGAAGAATAAAACTGTTGAAGATTTTGTGGAACGTTCTTCCATCGAACTGCCCGAAAATGTGTTTTAACGTTACCAGTGAAAGGTTCACTCGAAAGGCATTTTTGGTGCAATTAGCGTTAGACGCTAGACAACAGAATTCCAACACTCCTAGATCTTATTCAACTTGGCATACCTCTAGAGGGGAGTTATCCAAGTTGTAGTCATAGTCTGCGACATGTCTCAGATGAACTGCTTTATACTTTGAGGTTTTAAAGTTTGGTCTGTTTTCATCTGTCCAACACTGAAGTCAAGCCAGATCCTTCTGAAGTGACAACTTATCATCTTGGTTGTGAACTTCTCTTCGGAGTTTCACATCATCAGAGTGAAGTGATAAATATGACGTTACCTACTGTAGAAGATCGTTCATATAAGTCAAGAAGAGAAGAGGATCTAGTGCCGGACCCTGGGGAACCCCACTAGGGCATTCCACTACCTGAGAGAAAGTAAAGTTAACCCTTACCTTCAAATGTCGATTTCTTTGGATGTGAAGTAGGCCAATCAACTAAAGGTGATTTGGTGCTAATCATTTGTGGTTATTGGTAAGACATATGTGGTCGACCCTATCAAAATCTTTTGAGGAGTCAATGTATGTGACGCTAACCTTCCCCTTGCGATCAAGGGTGGTCTGCCGCAGCCGGCAGGTTAAGTATATAAAAGTGACCTTTCCTGAAACCGTTCTGTTGGTCTGAAAAGACGTTTGTAGATAGCAGGTAGTTGTGTATGCAGAGGTGTATCATGGACTACATAATTTTTGAGGGTATAGGGAGAAGTGCTACCTATCTGTAGCTTAAAGGTTCGCTGTATCGACCTCCTTTGAAAATTGGTGTGATGTGGACAAGCTTCTAATTTTCTGGCAATATGCCTTGGCTTAGAGAATGTGAGAACATCATGCTAAGTGGTGTGGCCAAGATTGAAGCCTTTCCCTCAGTATAGCGAAGTGAACCATATCCGGGTCGGGAAAAGTGTTTTTTATCATGTTCAGCAGTTTCTGGTACACCAAGCCAACGCCCAATTTCACTTCGGAAATTTTTGTGCGGTTACAGATGCAGCTTTCATTGATATCGTTAATGTGGGACGGTTGAAATGTCAGAGAGTACTGTTCTGCCAGAAGACAAGCGGCGTCACCATCGTATTTGGTCGGACCATTAGGACCTAGGGGTGGGAAACGCCAATTATGTCTTTGTTCCATCTCGAACTTAGAATTCTTAGTCTATCGCACAATACTTGAGCAGTCGAACGCTGGAACCCTCCCAAGTCACAAATCAAAAGACAGAAGACAAGTAGAAGGAATGTTATTCCAGACAGTGTCGAATATGGTACAAAATTATCAGGTATTTATAGTTTTTAGTAGAAACAAAATCATCATTATAGCTATCCAATCCGCAGACAGGGAGTTATCAGCATTGTCTAATAGGGAAGCTCCACGTGGCAATTCTGGAATATTCTTCCAAAAGCTGATTGGGTGGAACATGTTGGGCTTCTTCTGGGCTTCCTAGAGCCTCCTCGACTTCACCTGTGGACCATCCTCACACCTCCCTCTTTTAAAGTCTGTTGTATAAGACCATTTCCTCGGATCCACCTGGAATTGAGTTACCGTGATTCTCTTGCGACTCATTACTCTCGAAGGTTGTGTCGGTTTGCTCTTGCGTCTTTTATCTTTTCTACCTTCGCGCGCCTGAGTGATTTTTGGAGATGAATCCATGAGCAAATGAAATGGGAGCTGGCTTTGTGGCATCAATGTTCTGCCATCCCTTCGAATTTGATTGATGTATCTCATACAAGTTCCGACATTTCTTCGGATTAGGTACAACACACTTCCAATTCGATGTTCTATAATGCCTGGTTCCCATCTTTTTTCACCTTGATACGATTTAACGAGTACCCTTTCACCTACCTTGAAGCTACGAGTGACCATATGGTTTTCATTCGTGGGTTTACTTGTCTTTCTAGGTGGCAACATACTGCTAAAGACTGTTCGAATTTTCCTTCCCAACATACACTCAGGTGGTGACTTACCTTCGGGTACTGCCGGATTAGGGGTAACTCTGTAAGACATAAGGAACTTGCTGATTACTTGTTCTGGGATGGTCTCTCCTCCCCCTTTAACTAGAGCTTGTTTTATAGTATCCACGAATCTTTCTGCTTGGCCATTCGACTGAAGATGGTACGGGGGAGACTGTAGATGTGATATGCCATTTTCAATGCAAAACCGTTTAAAGACAGATGACATGAACTGGGTGCCGTTGCCAGTCACTAAAATCTCGGAAACCTCAAAACAAACGAACAAACCTGTCAATTTTCTTATAGTACTCTCTGACGTCAT